CTGCATGCTCACTCTCTACTGCAGGCTCACTCTCTACTGCATGCTCACTCAAACTCTACTGCATGCTCACTCTCTACTGCGTGCTAAATATCTATTTCTATATTTATCAAATTGAGATCAATAAAGTACTTCTCATCTTATGTCATTCTCCTTTATAGCTCTGGTGGTTCTGATATTCAGAGAGAGCATGTAACCCAGACAACAGAAGTGAGATCAACACACAGTGAAGTATATTGATCAGACTCACATGTGGAGTCCTGCAGCTCTGCACAGTTCCTGTTGAAGGAGCGAGCCGCGGTGAAAGAGACGGAGCTCTCCTGACCCGGAGGCTTGAAGGCCGAGCTGCAGACGGAGAGACAGAGAGACTCGTTTAGAGCTCAGTCTGAACATGAGATGTGTTTATAACATAGGTAGAAAAACACAAGTCAAAACCACAAGTCAAAACAAAGGAAGTTGGGTTTCTTTCAATTTCCAACAACATTTTAAGCAAACTTTCAAAAATGTTTCAAAAAAAGACAGGACGCAGTTTGGAGAGAATAAACTCAGGTCTATAAAGTGTAGTTTGGTCAGAAGCTGGCAGCATAGGCCATGATTTACACATGGCTGTAATCTACTCTAAGCTATCTCTACGACGTACAAAAGGAGGAAGGTCTCCAGGACTTTTTAAAGGGGTTACAAGTTCTTAAACTCAGCTCATATTGGCCATGTTTCATGCTGTCTGGAGAAATTACATATATACGTCTTACAGTACAGCGCAATATGTGACACAGGATCTTTGTGCAACTAAGGACGTTTTATTGATTTTCCCGTCTCCATAATAGGGGTCACTTGTGCAGTACTTCAAAGCTTAGTTGTTTCCTATCACAGCTGTGGTTTATACCAAACAAACTGATTGTTAGGGACTATTTTCAGCGGGGGAAGAACCATGTGCTCGAGTGAGTTTCTGGAGCAGGACTGTGGAGGTGGGTTTGAGGAACAGAGGATATATCAGGCTTTGCTCCACACACACACACACAATATACACATTGGTAGTATAAACACTCTGCTTGTTTGTTTGTGAACATGAGGTGTTTTTTTACCCGAACTGCGTCTCTTTCTCTCGGCGGTGAGCCACCACGGTGAGCAGCAGCCCGATGACGGTGGCCAGCAGCAGGCCGAGCAGCAGCCCCACCCACATGTGGCTCCGCTGGGGCAACACGTGCACTGAGGGGCCGACACATCACAGCATCACACAATAACAAGGGGAACAGATGCAGCGTCAGCGATTGTTGGTCCACCCTGTCAGAGGCTTCCTGACTCACAGACCATAACAACCTGAGAGGCTCCAACAGCATCCTCTGGGACCCAAAGCATCCTCTGGGACCCAAAGCATCCTCTGGGACCCAAAGCATCCTCTGGGACCCAAAGCATCCTCTGGGACCCAAAGCATCCTCTGGGACCCAGAGCATCCTCTGGGACCCAGAGCATCCTCTGGACCCAAAGCATCCTCTGGGACCCAAAGCATCCTCTGGGACCCAAAGCATCCTCTGGACCCAAAGCATCCTCTGGACCCAAAGCATCCTCTGGGACCCAAAGCATCCTCTGGGACCCAAAGCATCCTCTGGACCCAAAGCATCCTCTGGGACCCAAAGCATCCTCTGGGACCCAAAGCATCCTCTGGACCCAAAGCATCCTCTGGGACCCAAAGCATCCTCTGGGACCCAAAGCATCCTCTGGGACCCAAAGCATCCTCTGGGACCCAAAGCATCCTCTGGGACCCAAAGCATCCTCTGGACCCAAAGCATCCTCTGGGACCCAAAGCATACTCTGGGACCCAAAGTATCCTCTGGGACCCAGAGCATCCTCTGGACCCAGAGCATCCTCTGGACCCAAAGCATCCTCTGAACAGAGAAGATGAACTGCTATCATCTAATGGAGATTCAATAAAGTCAGCCTGAAGCATCCTTTGTGCTCCAGTCAGTCCTCTCAGTGAATACAGAGAGTCCAGATCAGATCACGCTGAAGGCTCTTTGAGCAGCTCTCACTGATCCTGCTGTTATGTTACATGTTTGTTGTTTGTTTCTCATGCATTGTGTCTTGATATGTGTCTGTTGGTGTTACACATGGAGCTGCTGTGAACTTGATCTGACCATTAAAGTATTATCGTATCGTATTGTATGTCAGGTGTGAAGTACCCGAGTGTGTTGTTGTTTACCTGAGGTGTGTTGTTTACCTGAGATGTGTTGTTTACCTGAGTGTGTTGTTGTTTACCTGAGTGTGTTGTTGTTTACCTGAGTGTGTTGTTGTTTACCTGAGGTGTGTTGTTTACCTGAGTGTGTTGTTGTTTACCTGAGGCGGGCAGCACCAGCACCGGGGGGCTCCAGGGTCCGCAGCCCACCGAGGTGCAGGCCGACACCTGGAAGGAGGCGTTGAAGAACCGACCTCCACCTGAGAGCAGAGCCGAGTTCTCCTGAAACAGCAGAGGCTCCTGAGGGAGAGCGTCAGGTCAGAATACCTTTGATCATCTGGTACCGCAGAAAACAACACCTGGACTTTCAAAGAACATAACATTCAACTGTTTGCAACTTCAAAAACAACAACTATTTATCTAATATATCATATTCCACTTGTATATAGACTCTTCTTGCACCATGTGATCTGTGTTATCGTGTTGCTCTGTTGGAGGAGCCTGAGACTCGTGTTCATTTCCTCAGCTGTTTTTTAATTTAGTTTTAGTCCTGTGTTAAATGTCCTTTCTAGTTTAGTCATATTTAGTCACCTTCATCCTGTTTTTATTTTAGTCAAAGAAAACTAATTAGGGGGGGGGGGGGGGGGTATTCGGTTAACGCGACCACTGCTCCCAAGCCCTGTTGTTGCCATTTTATTTTCTGTTAAATAAGGTTAGTTAGACCACGAGTTAGACACCACGAGTTAGACACCACGAGTTAGACACCCTGAGTTAGACACCATGAGTTAGACACCATGAGTTAGACCACGAGTTAGACACCACGAGTTAGACACCACGAGTTAGACACCACGAGTTAGACACCACGAGTTAGACCACGAGTTAGACACCACGAGTTAGACACCACGAGTTAGACACCACGAGTTAGACACCACGAGTTAGACACCATGAGTTAGACACCACGAGTTAGACACCACGAGTTAGACACCACGAGTTAGACACCACGAGTTAGACACCACGAGTTAGACCCCGAGTTAGACCATGAGTTAGACCACGAGTTAGACCACGAGTTAGACACCACGAGTTAGACCACGAGTTAGACCACGAGTTAGACCACGAGTTAGACCACGAGTTAGACCACGAGTTAGACCACGAGTTAGACCACGAGTTAGACCACGAGTTAGACCACGAGTTAGACCACGAGTTAGACCACGAGTTAGACCACGAGTTAGACCACGAGTTAGACCACGAGTTAGACCACGAGTTAGACCACGAGTTAGACCACGAGTTAGACCATGAGTTAGACCCTGAGTTAGACCCTGAGTTAGACCCTGAGTTAGACCCTGAGTTAGACCCTGAGTTAGACCATGAGTTAGACCATGAGTTAGACCATGAGTTAGACCCTGAGTTAGACCCTGAGTTAGACCCTGAGTTAGACCCTGAGTTAGACCCTGAGTTAGACCCTGAGTTAGACCCTGAGTTAGACCCTGAGTTAGACCATGAGTTAGACCATGAGTTAGACCATGAGTTAGACCCTGAGTTAGACCCTGAGTTAGACCCTGAGTTAGACCCTGAGTTAGACCCGAGTCTTTTCGTCAACGAAAGTAAAGAGAGATTTTGGCATAGTTTTTATTTAGTAAACTACATTTTCGTCTCGTCACTTTTCGTCAGCGATATTGCATGATGATTTCATTACAGTTATTGTTTACTGCCGTCTCGTCATCGTCTCGTTTTCGTCATGGAAAAAAAGGTCGTTGACGAAGATATTTCGTCATAGTTTTAGTCAACGAAATGAACACTTCCTGTGACCTAAGATTTGCATTGTCAGATCTACCTGTAGCTATGAACACATGCCAATAAAAGCCTTGAATCTTGAAAAAAAAGAGCCAAAGACAGCTGAATGTTAACTAAGAAGCATAAAACACAAAGATTAAAAAAAGCATGAGATGAGATGAGATGCTGAAAACACAGACTTAGTTTTCATTTTGCCAGCATTTCCTTTTTTTACGAATAACACGTTTATTAAATGTCTCAAATGTCTTTTTCCTTATTTTTTTAATAAAAAGTTGTTATGAGTGTGCTACGTTGACTTTGATAATATGAACCGGATTCAAACGTAGTTATTTATTTATTTGATAAGTAAAAAAAAAAAAATGAAGTAAAAGTGCAGGCGTTGATCAAAATCGCTCATTAACATTCGTAGTCTGTCGGCAAACACAAACACAAACACAAACACACAATGCAACGGAAGAAGAAAAGACAAAATACACTATAAAAAGTAGAAAATATATTTTAGACAAAGTCAAATCAGTGTTCTCTTAACCAAGTTTCAGTTGACTATAAGTATAGACATTTTTGTTATATACCTTTTTTTAAAACCCTAACCCTTAAAGGTCACCTATCATGCTATCTTTAGCCAATAGCATAGGTCTCAGATATATACAATATATAAAAAACATGTCTATGAAGTGTTTTGCTCCAAATACCAAACAGATCATTCTAGCCATGCCTCATATCCCTCTATTTCACTTCCTGTTTCTAAAGTGATGATTTGGGGTAAAAAGCTTTAAAGAGGAGGGGTCTGAGCTCATGCGGGGACCCGGCAGCTACTGTCTAAACTAAATGCTGCCGTGATGAAACTCCATATCATGGATGATCAAGGATTGTCTCTGAAACAGTATGGAGCTCAAAGGCTTTCTCTCTTGCCGGTTACACCACAAGGTGAGTTCCTTTTTATTTCCTGCTTCTTCACACACATGCTCTCCAGTACAGGTTAGCTCTGAGTGTTAGCCATGCTAATGTAAACACCGACCATATTACGTCCAAAACAGTCGGGCATTGTTTCTGATAGCAACGTTTCTGATAGGGCCGTGGGTCCACATTTCAGATATTACGTCATATCGGACGCAAATCTGGATCAGCTCCGTTGTTCCCCCGTTTTTAGAGATTTGGGTACGGAGGAAAAGAGAGAGGGTTTTCTGACGCTGCGTGAGTTCCCTGACACACCGGGGACACACCGGGGACACACCGGGGACACACCGGGGACACACCGGGGACACACCGGGGACACACCGGGGACACATGTTGATGTAGAGAAGACATCAGAAAGTGCATTTTGCATGATAGGTCCCCTTTAAAGTATGTTTTTTCCCTTCCCTCCCTGCTTCCAAGACTCAAGGCTGTTCTTGTCATGTGTACAGAGCAGATATATCAATGACAATCTGAGGTCCCAGGCTCCTCCCACAGAGCAACACAATAACACAGGAAATGGAATATGATATATTAGATAAATAATGTGGATGTCCTGTGTACATGTAATGATGTGCTGACAGACCTGAGACCTGCAGCTTGTTTCAAAAACAGCCCTCCCTTAAAATATTTGTTGTATTTTTTAGTCAATGAAAAATGGTTTTATTATAATTGTTTTATTTATGCTGCTGTAGTACTTATTTAATTTAATTAATAAACAGTAAACCTTGTTTTTAAACATTATTGCGTCTCCTCTTATAGAATAGAGAATTTGGTACGTGTTTTTTTTTAACTAAATGAAAGTCTTGTTTTTTACCATTAGCCGTCCCTGCTTCCGGTATAAATGTAATGGAAGCTCTGAGAGACCCCCCACCTGAGGCTCCCCTCCTCTGGTCCACTGCAGCTTGTATGCGATCAGACGTCCCTGCAGCTGCTCCTCCTGCAGCGCCGCCCAGCTGAGAGCCAGCTGCTGCTCCGACAGCTCGAACGTCAGGTTCCTGGGGGCCGCCGACGGCACTGAGGGCGGGATGATATATCATTACTATCAGATAGATTACAGTGATTATCATGAAGCGTGCTCTGCAGGGTCTGAATGCTCACTGATAAACATCAGCATCAGAGAGTCCTCACAGTCTGGGGAAAAACACAATCTGATAAACAACTTGTTTTTCTAAAAGACTGAACTAAATGGTAAATGGTCTTTACTTATATAGCGCTTTATCCAGTCTTCAAGACAGGGGTCTCAAACTCAAGGCCCGGGGGCCAAATCCGGCCCGCGACTTCATTTGATGTGTCCCCGCAAGAGCTTTCAAAGAATATAATACGTTTATTATACGGTTACATGCCACTTTACAGAAGCAGGTTGCCCATAAACTACATGTCCCACAATGCATCTTGTTTTGTGACATGCGCAGTGAAGAGACTTGCAATTATTTGCCCTGGACTTCTGCTTTCAGACGTAGTTAATTACTAAGTTATTATCCTATCCGGTAATAATCCAATTCAGAGGCAATAATGTAATATAATACATTATTTGATATATATTATATATTTATATAGTTACAACCGGCCCTTTGAGTGCAACCTTTATGTGAATGTGGCCCGCGATGAAATTGAGTTTGAGTTTTAAGGAGCACTATTGGAGTGACTTTGATGGTTATTGGACTCAGGATTCATTCATTTGGATTCCCGCTGTATGAAGAAATGAAAGGACGGCGCAAGTGGAAACGATTCACAAAGGGATTAAACTGTTTAAAACACAAGCCGGATTTTGCCGATGTGTTTATGTGGATTCAAAAGTCGTAAATAATCTACAAAATGGAGGAGACCGATCTGATCGGAGCAACTGTGACAAATAATGTGAAACCGGAATGGACAATGACTGTTTTGAAAATGGGCTTATCCAGAAAAGCCTGGTTTGGACACTTTACGGGCAGAAGAAACATTTCTATTAAAGAAAGAATTTAATAGCAACTAACTTGAATCTTTATTCAAATTAATTAATCAATTATTTGTTATATTTTATTGTAATGTAGAGACAAGGCTTTTAGTGACAATCATGTATTGCGTTACAATGATATGTCCCAGGTTGGGAACCACTGCTCTAAATGACTAAACAGTTATTAACATTAAAGTTACATATCAAAATGTTCAGGACTATCTCTGGTCTTGCTAGAAATGCAAGTCACTCACCTTAAAGCACTGTGTGATGAGATAAAGAGCTCTAAAGCTGCTTTGACATCCGATTTAGGAAATCTTCAATCATATTTCTACTCCTATTAATCGAAAAGATGATTAAATACGAAAAATATGCGACACTTGGGACATTTAAACTTAAGTACAGTACTTGAGTAAATGTACTTAGTTACTTTCCTCCCCTGGTGATCTGAGGTCAGTGTGTGTCTCTCTGCAGCCTGCAGGGGGCGCTGCTGAGAGACAGCCTGCAGAGAGACAGCCTGCAGGGGGCGCTGCTGAGAGACAGCCTGCTGAGAGACAGCCTGCAGGGGGCGCTGCTGAGAGACAGCCTGCTGAGAGACAGCCTGCAGGGGGCGCTGCTGAGAGACAGCCTGCAGAGAGACAGCCTGCAGGGGGCGCTGCTGAGAGACAGCCTGCTGAGAGGCCTTTCATATGGATTTAGGCCACACACAAAAGCTGATTGTACAGGAGAGGACTGGAATCTACTGGAACCCATCCAGCTGGACCACACACACACACACACACACACACACACACACACACACACACACACACACACACACACACACACACACACACACACACACACACACACACACACACCACACACACACACACACACACACACACACACACACACACACACACACACACACACCCACACACACACACACACACACACACACACACCACACACACACACACACACACACACACACACACACACACACACACACACACACACACCACACACACACACACACACAACACACACCACACACACACACACACACACACACACACACACACACACACACACACACACACACACACACACACACACACACACACACACACACACACACACACACACACCACACACACACCGCTCTCAGCGTCTAACTGCTGAAGCTCAGAGAAAACAGGAAACCAGCCGACAGCAGAATCTCTCTGCCACATTCCTATAAGAGGTGCTTTCTGTTTGATTCAGTTCATGTATATGTTAACAACTTTGAGGTGTTTGGAGGTCACACAGAGGTCACACAGAGGTCACACAGAGGTCACACAGAGAAGCTAAAACAACAGAAAAGAGATGCAAAAATTCAAAAAGAGACAAAACAGAAACTAGTGGCTTCAAAACCTTCCACAAGAGACACAGAATAGCTGCTGTTGTTGATGTTGATGTAAAACCACCAAAAATGGGAACAAAACGGCCACTAGGAGAAGCAAAGACTAAAAGAGACCCTAATCCCGCGGGCAGTGAGACTGTTAAACAATTGAACTGTTGAAACAACATCAAACATTCAACTGCTACTCAGTAGTATGTATCTAATACCTAATATATATATATCATTCCAATAACTTGTATATAGACTCATACTGCACTATTCCACATCATAACTTTATTTCATTTTTATAACTATTATTATTTTTGTATTGCTCTTGCTCTTATTGTTATTATGTTATGTTATTATGTTGCATTGTTGGAGAAGCCTGTGACATAAGATTTTCAACTGCATAATTACTCTGTAGCTATGTCAGATTGACAATAAAGAACCTTGAACTTGAACCTTGAACTAATGTACAATCTTTGAGCAGATTTAAATACAAACGTGTTTTTACTTTGAAGAGGACATTCTGCTCACTTTCAGGTTCAGAGTATTTGGTGTCTCTACCGAGTCATGTTTACATTATTTAATGTTCAAAAAGGTCTTCATGTTCTCATGCTGCCTGTGCTGCAATGTGATTGGTCAACCCCTCCTGAAGTAAACACAGGAGTCCAATGGAGGTGTTTCAGGCAGGGAGGCGGGAATGTGTGGGAAAGAATCTCCCCCTGGAGGGAACACAGGGATTTTAGGCTGCTTTTACACGGGACCGTTTGCGTTTATGCACAGTATGCGCTTTCAAAAAAGTATTCCGTTCACATGCATTCGTTTCATTTAACGTGTCTGTTCAAACGAGACCGCTGGAAACGCTGTAGTACATATGCCGGGACTGTAAGTGGCGCTGTAACTTCCGCCAAAATAGACCAAAAGCAGCGAAGAAGACTCCGAAGCAGCCCCGCAGCAATGTTTCCATGGCTACCCTTCTGTTTATGCCCCGCGGTGGATTTAGCAACATGTAGTTCATGTAATTCTCCATGTCCACTTGTTGCTGATGGTTGTGGTAGAGGAGCTGTAGATTGTTGCACTAATATCTGTAGCATGGTCAGTAGCAGTAGCACTAGCAGTAGCTACTGACAGCAGCTACTGCAACCATGCTCCGGGGTCTTCTTCGCTGCTTTTGGTGTATTTTGTGGCGGAAGTTACAGCACCACTTACAGTCCCGGCATATGTACTACAGCGTTTCCAGCGGTCTCGTTTGAACAGACACGTTAAATGAAACGAATGCATGTGAACGGAAGACTTTTTTGAAAGCGCATACTGTGCATAAACGCAAACGTTCCCGTGTACTGACAGTAGCTACTGGCCATGCTACAGCAGTGAGCAGGAGAGGCGGGGAGAGGTGGGGCTATCGTTATTTTTTCAGGAAATATTCGTATAGAGGCGATTACACGGACTCCTTTGACCCCCCAGAGAGTTTCGTTTGCAAATCTATCCACCTTGGGACCCGTTATCGTTTGTGGGGTCCGTTTGTTACGGCCTCGTGTAAATAATAGGGCTATACGCAAGAGAAACTATGCAGATACAAGCCGTTTCGTTCCCGTGTAAAGGCAGCCTTAGTCTTTGCAGACCATTTACATGCGCTAAAACCTCCACTACAGGAAAGGGAAACCCCCAGAAAGCAGAACAGGCCCCGTCATAAAGCAGTGGACTCTTTTACCTTGTAGTAGAAAAGATGCTTCCTAACATCTCTCACCTGACTCCGGGGTCTGGAAGTGGACCCAGGGGCAGAAAGGCGACGCCCCCACCTCGTTCAGACAGGAGAGCCTCACGCTGTAGTTCTGATGGCTCCTCAGAGCCGAGAGGACGTGGAGGTGAGGAGGAACCTGGACCTCCTGCTGGGGGAGATCCCACCTCCTCACTGAGCGCCTGGACAGCTGGGGGGAGGGGGAGGAGGGGAGCGATCAGTGTTTGAGTAGCCTCCCCTGTGTGTGTGTGTGTGTGTGTGTGTGTGTGTGTGTGTGTGTGTGTGTGTGTGTGTGCGTGTTACCTGGACGACGCAGGTTGTCAGCTCAGAGTGTCCATTGAATCCCGGTATCCATGCCAACGTGACGTTGTTGTCCTCCATCCTGAGGACCTGCAGTCCAGAGGGCGCCGCCGGCAACACTGAGAGAGAGAGAGAGACTCATCAGCCAATCACAGCTCAGATACAGAGAACATGTGACAACAGGTGTGTCAGTGATTCTGTTTACATGCACACTAATATTCCACTATAAGTCAAAGATATGACATCTGAGTGTGATAAGGGCCATGGAAACAGAACGTGGCTGATTAATGTGCTTTAATATGTGAAGTAAGTGTACTTCACATCAGTGTTTAGTGTCTCTACTTTAAAGAGTCCTCTCCTGCTGATGTTCAGGTGTATATCAGTATGTAGTGTCTCTACTTTAAAGAGTCCTCTCCTGCTGATGTTCAGGTGTATATCAGTATGTAGTGTCTCTACTTTAAAGAGTCCTCTCCTGCTGATGTTCAGGTGTATATCAGTATGTAGTGTCTCTACTTTAAAGAGTCCTCTCCTGCTGATGTTCAGGTGTATATCAGTATGTAGTGTCCTCTACTTTAAAGAGTCCTCTCCTGCTGATGTTCAGGTGTATATCAGTATGTAGTGTCTCTACTTTAAAGAGTCCTCTCCTGCTGATGTTCAGGTGTATATCAGTATGTAGTGTCTCTACTTTAAAGAGTCCTCTCCTGCTGGTGTTCAGGTGTATATCAGTATGTAGTGTCTCTACTTTAAAGAGTCCTCTCCTGCTGATGTTCAGGTGTATATCAGTATGTAGTGTCTCTACTTTAAAGAGTCCTCTCCTGATGATGTTCAGGTGTATATCAGTATGTAGTGTCTCTACTTTAAAGAGTCCTCTCCTGCTGATGTTCAGGTGTATATCAGTATGTAGTGTCTCTACTTTAAAGAGTCCTCTCCTGCTGATGTTCAGGTGTAGATCAGTATGTAGTGTCTCTACTTTAAAGAGTCCTCTCCT